TACAGGATGCTTCTCTAAAGTGTACAGGAGGAGTTCCAATCACCATCCATCTCTGTATCCTCCTTTTCTAGCTGGTCCTTTTATACTCACCCAGAAGGAAAATGCTTAGAAAGAATCAGGATTCTCTACTATAACAAATGACAATGTAGGGCAGCATATGGAACCAAGTTCCATATGGTGCCTACAGAATTTCAGGTGCATTTGGTATTCCAGTGTTGAACTAGTGGCTGAAAGGCCTGGTAAAAGTTGTCGATTATTTGTGCATGAAATTAAAAACTTTGATGATCAAACCAAGGAAAAAGCACTTCTCTCAGACTGTTTTCTCCTTTGACTAACCTCCCAGAGAAGACTGCTTGGCCCCCAGAAATGTTTAAAATGCCTCACATAATTCTGTAACTCGACAAAAACACTCGAAACAAGAAGTTGGTAATTACAAATATCAAGGATCACACTTTTTTTTATCAAGGAAAGAGACTTGAAATTCAAAAAATGACTAATCTACTTAAAATACTTTCTTAAATACACAAGACATCCAATAAACTATAAATACAATTCAGGCTCACCACAGGTCTGTAATTATACTGAAAGCAACAAGTGCAATTTCCTAGACACAGCTATATGGGATATAACATTACTAAGGCCTTTGAAGTGGACAACCAGAAAGGTCAATTGAACTTTTGACATGCCTATTTCTGTTCTCTTATTGAGCCTGCAAATTGCTGCACAAGAGTATATAACAATTGGGAGTATGAACAAGAAGGGACTTATAATTTTTTAAACTTGAAACAGGAGTGTATAACAATTGGGAGTATGAACATGAAGGGACTTATAATTTGTTAAACTTGAAACAATCCCCAGAAACACATGTACAGGATGGAGGAACATGAGAAAGTAAAAGTTTAGCTGCTAATTGAATATTTGAGAGGATCCAAGGAATATATATCACCATGTCCAAATTAGATATTGCCAAAATCACACTTGGCATGCCCAAATCACACTTACTTTTAGGAAAAAGAAGACCCTGATCAAGACACCATTCTCAAAAGTGGGTGGTGCCCCGGGGGGGGGGAGGCGGGTGGGGAAGGGATGCTTGCAATACCTACAGAAAATTAAAACATCTCATTCTGTTGCACCAGAAGGTATCCACAGATTTTATAATCAATACCATGATTAAAAATCAATGGCTATTGCATCAATAATAGGTTTCAGTAACTATACATGGCTCCATAATAGGGCACAAGAACCTCACGATGACATTATGTAACCATAATCAAACCTCAAAACGACAATGCAACAGCACTTACACGTCAACAAAAGCAATAGCAAATCAGTAGGCACAGGATCTTGTAATAAATTTGTTTAGGATTGCATATCAGAAGTCGGTATCTACAGGAATCAAGCAGGATATGCAGAATCCTATTGCCATTGGGTGGACAAAGGTAAAATATTATTGCAGTAAGGCATATTCACAATTTGAAAAGAAAGAATCCCATAAAGTTTCCATGAACAAGTTTTACTTGTGATGCAGCTTTAGAACTGTTACAGATTATATGCAGGCTGATTTGTAGGGATTAGATAGCTGTCACAGATTGATATAGGCTGATTTGTAGGGATTAGATAGCTAACAAATGTAGGCTAGTTTGTAGCCTAAATTATAGGAATTAGAGGACTGATTTATTGTAATAGGATATCTTCCTATTATAGGATGTCTATACCTGTATATATACCCTTACGATTGATGAATAAAAATATGGGGAATTTATTCTCTTCCTCTGAAATTCACATGGTATCAGAGCAAGGTTTGTTCATAAATTTTTTTTTTCTGGGTTGTTGGGTGTGAGGGAAGCTGCTGCCATATTCAAGGTACAGGCTTTAGAGGTTCCTTTATAGACACCGCCAACTCAGGGAGGTACGTAGTACCGATTGGTCAGAACCCAGCACCTCTCCTCTGTCTCTCGACGCTATTTGCATACCTGTTTGTGGGTCAACATCGATCTAGGTGTGGAACTTGGCTACAACAGGTTTTTCTTGTGGGTAATCTGTTATCTTGTTGAATTTTCTTAGCAATTATGTCTGACAAAAAGCCTGGAGTTGTTTCTGATATAGTTCCGCTGGTTTCAAAAATCACGGAACATAAGTTAACTGGAATTAATTTTCTTGATTGGAACAATACTATTGAATTATATCTGCTCAGTATTTCTATGGATGGCCATCTGACTGATGATCCACCTACGGATGACTCTAAATTGTCTTGGATGAGAGAGGATGCTCGCTTGTATATACAGATCCGTAATTCTATTGATAGTGAGATGGTCGGTCTGGTTACTCATTGTAAGACAGTAAAACAATTAATGAACTATTTACAGTTCTTATATTCTGGAACAGGAAATTTCTCTCGTATCTATGATGTTTGCAAGGATTTTTACAGGGCAGATAAAGGAGACAAGTCTCTCACCAGTTATTTTATGGACTTCAAGAAAACATATGAAGAGCTCAATATGCTGCTTCCCTTCAGTTGTGATGTGGAGGAACAACGAAATCAGCGAGAGAAGATGGCGGTTATGAGTTTTCTAGCCGGTCTTCCGTCTGAATTTGAGACTGCTAAATCTCAAATTCTTTCCGGTTCAGAAATTTCCAGTCTAGAAGATTCTTTTCGAAGGGTTCTCCGTACAGAGAATACGTTACCTGTTCTATCTACTCAGCCTAACAGTGTTCTTCTTAGCCGAACTACCACAGCTGATTCAGGAAGACAACACTACAAGAGTAATGGCAACAGTACGAGCATGGGGTCGGGGCCCAACCACTCTGATAAGAATACTAGCAATCATGGACAGGAGCAAGGAGAGATTGTATGTCACTACTGTCATAAACCAGGTCATATCAAGCGAGACTGTCGGAAGCTGCAGTATAAGAAGGCTCACTCTGCCCATATTGCATCTAGTTGTGCGACCTCTGACAAGCATGTTACAATATCTGCGGATGAGTATGCTAGATTGACTCAGTTTCAAGAAACAGTGAAACAGCCATCTGGTCATGTTACTGCTCCTGTCGAGACAGGTAAACCCAATGCATGTCTTGTTTCCTCTTCTCCAAAATGGGTCATTGATTCTGGTGCTACTGATCACATGACAGGTAATCCTAATTTACTTTCTAACTTTCAGCCACATAAATCTATCACTCCTGTTACTTTAGCCGATGGTTCAACATCCAGTGTTATTGGGTCTGGAACCACTCAGCCCACATCATCCTCCCCTATAATTTAGCCCAATCGTAAGGGTATATATACAGGTATAGACATCCTATAATAGGAAGATATCCTATTACAATAAATCAGTCCTCTAATTCCTATAATTTAGGCTACAAACTAGCCTACATTTGTTAGCTATCTAATCCCTACAAATCAGCCTATATCAATCTGTGACAGCTATCTAATCCCTACAAATCAGCCTGCATATAATCTGTAACACTCCCCCTCAAGCTGGAGCATAGATATTAATCATGCCCAGCTTGTTACATAGATAATCAATCCGGACCCCGTTAAGAGCTTTTGTGAATATATCACCTAATTGTTCTCCAGTCTTCACATAACCTGTAGTGATCAAACCTTGTTGGATCTTTTCACGAACGAAATGACAATCAATCTCAATGTGTTTCGTTCGTTCATGAAAGACTGGATTGGAAGCAATGTGAAGTGCAGCTTGATTATCACACCATAGCTTGAGCAGGGTATTCTTCATCAGACCTCTTGTGTTGACACCCATTCTCAAAATGGGGTTGCCGAGAGAAAGAATAGACACCTTCTTGAAACTGCTCGAGCTTTGTTATTTCAAATGAAGGTTCCTAAATGTTTCTGGGCTGATGCTCTATCTACTGCTTGTTTTCTAATCAATCGTATGCCTTCCTCTGTTTTGTCTGGTAATACTCCTTTCCACACTCTATTTCCAAATAAACAGTTGTTTCCTATAGAACCAAAGATATTCGGTTGTACTTGTTTTGTTCGGGATGTTCGTCCTCAAGTTACAAAACTTGATCCTAAGTCCTTAAAGTGTATGTTTCTGGGTTATTCTCGCATGCAAAAAGGGTATCGTTGTTATTGTCCTAGTCTTGGTAAGTATCTTGTGTCTGCTGATGTTACTTTTTTGGAACAAACACCTTTATCTTCATCTTCAGGCTCTTCAAGTTCTGTGAGTCCAGGGGAGGATGATGATTTGTTAATCTATAGTGTCATACCAAATTCGGGTCCGCCTCCTTCTACACCGGTTAAGCCTCCCATCAAATATACCTACTCACGTCGGGCACATCAGCCCAGTTCTGACTTGGTCCTTGAGTCTCCAGAATCATGTCCTGATGAACCAGTCTCTTTGTCATCAGATCCGGCTGCCAACGATGATCTTGATCTCCCTATTGCTCACAGAAAAGGTAAACGTGCATGTACTTATCCAATCTCTTCAGTTGTTTCCTACCATCATTTGTCTTCCTCTTCTTGTGCTTTTCTTACATCCCTAGACACTGTTTCTGTACCTAAGACTGTTCGAGAGGCATTAGCTCATCCCGGATGGCGGACTGCTATGATTGAGGAAATGAATGCTCTAGATGTCAATGGTACATGGACTTTGGTTACCTTACCTGCAGGTAAACAAGCCATTGGATGTAAATGGGTGTTTACTGTCAAAATGAATTCTGATGGCTCCATTTCTCGATTGAAAGCTCGACTTGTTGCTAAAGGATATGCTCAAATTTATGGGGTGGATTATCATGATACTTTTTCTCCTGTTGCTAAACTTGCTTCGGTCAGGTTGTTTATCTCCCTTGCTGCAGCTTATGACTGGCCTCTGCATCAGTTAGACATCAAGAATGCCTTTCTTCATGGTGATCTTCAGGAGGAGGTATATATGGAGCAACCACCTGATTTTGTTGCTCAAGGGGGGCATGGGAAAGGGAAAGTCCGTCGTCTGCAAAAATCTCTATATGGCTTGAAACAGAGTCCTCGGGCTTGGTTTTGGAAAATTTAGCCAAGCTATTGAGAAATTTGGGATGCAGAAAAGCAAGTCAGATCATTCTATTTTCTATAGACACTCTAATGGAGGTATTATTCTGTTAGTTGTATATGTGGATGATATTGTAATCACAGGTAGCGACTCTAGCGGAATTTCGTCTCTAAAGTCCTTTCTTCATACTCAGTTCTATACCAAAGACTTGGGGATGTTAAAGTATTTCTTGGGAGTTGAAGTTAGCACGAGTAAGAAGGGAATCTTTCTATCACAGAGAAAGTATGTACTTGATTTACTGTCGGAGTCGGGAAATTTGGGTGCTAAACCATGTAGTACCCCAATGGTTCCTAATTTACAATTAACCAAAGAAGGTGAATTGTGTGCAGATCCTGAGAGGTACAGAAGACTAATCGGAAAGTTGAATTATCTTACTGTGACACATCCTGATATTGCTTATTCAGTGAGTGTGTTAAGCCAATATATGTCCTCACCAACTGTTGACCATTGGAAAGCAGTCGAACAAGTTTTGCACTATTTAAAATGTGCTCCTGGACGTGGAATCCTATATGGCAATCATGGTCATACTAGGATTGAATGTTTTTCAGATTCAGATTGGGCAGGGTGTAAGGAAGATAGGAGATCTACTTCAGGATATTGTGTTTTTGTTGGGGGAAATTTGGTCTCATGGAAGAGTAAGAAACAGAATGTCGTCTCACGATCCAGTGCGGAAGCTGAATATAGAGCTATGGCCAAGTCTGTGTGTGAAGTCATATGGGTATATCAGCTCCTTAGTGAAGTAGGAATTAAGGTCTCAGTACCTGCCAAGCTATGGTGTGATAATCAAGCTGCACTTCACATTGCTTCCAATCCAGTCTTTCATGAACGAACGAAACACATTGAGATTGATTGTCATTTCGTTCGTGAAAAGATCCAACAAGGTTTGATCACTACAGGTTATGTGAAGACTGGAGAACAATTAGGTGATATATTCACAAAAGCTCTTAACGGGGTCCGGATTGATTATCTATGTAACAAGCTGGGCATGATTAATATCTATGCTCCAGCTTGAGGGGGAGTGTTACAGATTATATGCAGGCTGATTTGTAGGGATTAGATAGCTGTCACAGATTGATATAGGCTGATTTGTAGGGATTAGATAGCTAACAAATGTAGGCTAGTTTGTAGCCTAAATTATAGGAATTAGAGGACTGATTTATTGTAATAGGATATCTTCCTATTATAGGATGTCTATACCTGTATATATACCCTTACGATTGATGAATAAAAATATGGGGAATTTATTCTCTTCCTCTGAAATTCACAAGAACCATGCATAAAATTCTAAAGTTCAAGCCCCAAGACCTGTATGGAAGGGCAACTCGATTGATGCAGTCCCATTAAGAATTAAGAAAAACAGAAATCTTCAGTTGAACAGGAAAAAAATGTTTTTGAATGAAGTTCGTTTATTCCTCTCTAATGCATTCCTTTCCTCTTGGAACAAATTCTCCTCTCTTATTCAAATTGCTTGACTAATTCTCAACTCTCTTAATCTGTCTTTCTGTTTAATTAAAAGAACAATTGGCAGCTCTTAAGAAACTTCAAAAAGGAAAGCGATATAGATACCTGTCACAGAGCTGAAAATTTTTGCATTGATTGCAGACCCATCGGTTTCCAGATACCATTAGAACGCAGCAGTGAGTGCAAGCGTGTTGTAAGTGAACCATGATAAAATCCTCCGTCATTGAACATATAGTTTCTCCAAGCTACAATGACAAGCAAAGCCCACAAGAACCAAAAGATCAGCACAAAAATTAAGTGGTAAAACAGTATTCAAGGAGAAAATCAGGTCATTGATCATAATTAGGCATGAAAAACATTTAGGCTGGTGAGAAGAAGTTCCAAAAACAATAAACTAATAATTGCATCTCTCCTACCCATTTTGTTGCCATTAGAGAGTCTGTTCAACTGGCTGTCCGGCAATTCAATTAGAAAAGTAAAGGAAAAGAATATAGAAAGAAACTTTATGGTGGGAAAGCAATGAATCTTTGCATCTAATCCAAACAAAACATAAGACGCTTGAAAAACTTAAATAAGTGCTGACAAAAAGAACAACATTCAGAGCAAAAGATTGGTATTGTTGTGGTAGGAGGATTAACAAAAGCCAAAAAGGTTCAGATGCAGTAAATTACTTTATGCATTAGTAGCAGATCCCTTGATGGATTGCCAGAAAGATCAGTCTGACCGGATGATTTTAGAGCTCTCTTTGTTGTGGTCTTTTTTATAGTTCCCTTCTTATAGTATTTTCTGCCATCCTCCTCTTGTTGCAATTGGTATATCATATCCTCCACAGCCCCAGGCCAATAATCTCCATCAAAATACGGTAGCCGAGCAACTATTACCTTAGCTTTACACTCACCCGTAGATACAAAGAAATGGTCATAAAAATTAGTAAGATCTACAACAATATTTTCCTTTGAAGCTTTTCTTAACATTGATAAGTACCTGAAACAAGAAAGCAAAACCATATCAAACATCTATGTTGTGGAGAACTAAAATATTTTAGGTGCTAGACGTGAAAGTATTGTAAACTGTTAGTCTTTTAGCTCACCATTCCCTAAGTTTATCAGATTTTGGCATCTTCTGGATTTCTGGATGGCAATATAAGATAGAATCTTCATCCTTTAGTGGAGGACAAGCCCATACATAACAACTTGTAAAGCCCCGCTTTTTTGCAATATTCCAGGTATCCGATCTGGGGCAAATGGTCATTATGTAAAAGTTGTTAGTATGGTGATTAACCCGAAAAAAAAAGGCAGAATAAAACATTAAAGAAATGAAAAAGTTTACCAAAATTTCATGGTACACAAATGTACGGAGAGCTTCTCCAGTCACAGTTGTCACCTCTGGTCTGAAATATTTAATCGTATCCAGATATGAAAGATAAACACGCCGATGATTTGGTTGCTGGCATTCTGATCCGAATTCTTGAACATACATGCCAAATAAACATACTTCTACCCCTTCAATCTTTTGGAACAAGAGTAATACCTGGAAGCACAGATTTTAGCGTTGAGTACCAAAAGTAAGAACAATACAAGATGGAAATCTGACGAAAATCGAGGGTTCCGAGACAATTAGTTTTTGCAAAGAGAATCTGAGTAAGAAGCAATACAAGATGGAAATCTGATGAAAATCAAGGGTTCCGAGACAGTTAGTTTTTGCAAAGAGAATCTGATATTTGGATCACAACAAAAACAAATTTATTCAGCAATCCAGCAAAACATTTATTTCAAGTGCAGGCACACCCTGAAAATTTGAGGAATAACAACTGAGCTACTCCTACTGATATAGACCTATTCACAATACCTCTCCAACTTCTTGAGTCTCTGCTCATAAATCATAATTCTTGATTACTGACAACATTCTTCTCTGTGTCTAGACACCCCTTAGCACCAAAAAGAGGCAAACAAAAAATTGGGATCCACACTGTCAGAAGAGGTGTACGTGTGAATCCCCAACCAAAAAAACAACCAACTTGATCCACCTGTTTGGGATTTTGAGTCAACTCTACACATAAGAGCTCTAAAATCTCTTGATAGAATGGAAAAAGAATGAGACGTTTCCCTAGGCCAGGCACAAAAGATAACTGCAATTTATAACAACAGTGAACTTGCATTGCACAGAAATTTTGAAATTTAGAATCTAAGGATATAACTTTCAAAAATTACACCTCCAACCACCTTCACAACATAACCTTCACATAACTTGTACGGCGGCGTACCTTGGACTTGTATGGAAATTCCAATGGATAGTTTTCCTCTTGGAAAATCTCAAGAAACTGTGGCTTTACATCCAACTTTTTGTCCACAGATGAAACTACTCCTACAACAAGTCCTTCTGCTCGAGGAACCTAGTGAAATAGATGTATAAAGATATCAGTAGTAATATATCAAAGACAAAAGAAGGAAATATTCAGTTTGTTTAAGCAATCATAGAAGAATAAGTACTACAACAAAATCCTTTTTTGTAAATAAAAAAAGGTATGAAGATAAACTTGATACGATTCCCATGTGGAATAAATACGATATAGAAACTTCACTAATAGCACCATATGGAGTAACAGAAGATAACAATCAGCATTCAGACAGGAGAGATCTGAGAAGAGAAGCAACAAGCCACTAATCCAAAAACCATACTCAGCTGCATAATATCAGCAGATTATGGCTTCATTTAAACTAAAAGCTGTTTTCAGATGTTGCCAGCAGCTTTCTTCATTTGTTATATTATGCCTTTTCAGGCAGTGTCGAAGAAAGTCACTACAAAATCCGTGCTTTTAATATTGCAATCAGCATTTTTGTCAACCACTCTTCTTTCAGTAGCTCTACAAAAGCTGAAACAGATAAGACAAGGCCCCTTCACAGATGTTACTAAGATCTAAACTTGTAAACAGCTTATAATGAGTATGCTTAATAATCCAGAACCAGTAAATCCTAGTCCTCTAATTGCATATGAACTTGAAACTTTGTTAGCTGGTTAATCCAGGAAAAGAGAATAAAACAGTCAAAAGACTGGTTACTTCTCATCAAGATTCCAAGAAATGAATAGAATTGCATAGATGGGCTATAGGCTATAACAAAACTTTTGAGCACTTATAATTAGAAGAAAAATAACTCTAAAACATCGATCAACATTTGAGAGAAAAAAAATCAAGAAATGGGTCTAAAGTATCACCTCATCAATACTCTTTCCTTGAACACTTGCTCTCTCTTGTCTTTCGTGTTTTAGTCGCCTTGCTAACCGCATCTCAATGTGATCACTCAAACTGGTTCTTGGTAGATCTTTTGCTCCAAGGACAGCACTTTGTGGTAATGGCTTGCGCTCCCCTCTTTCAACTTCTGCTACATAGCAATTTAGGCAAGTATACTCGGCTTGTCCACCATCATTTCTTCTACCATTAAACAATGCACAAATTTGGTGTTGCCAAGCTTCACATTTGTCACATTGAACCCACTATAAAAAAAAGTGAAATAACATCCAACATCATTGAACCATCTGATAAACAAAAAAAATAGAAAATCACAAAAATGCAGAAAAAGCTAAACGTTATGTATCCATTCTTCAGTCTCCTCATCATATTTCTTCTTCTCATGCCTTGCTTTGGCGATAGCTGTTCCATCGGCTATGATGGTGTCTCCACGAGCCTCGTTGTAGCAAGGAATACAGATGTAATGCCGAGTATCACCAGTTCCAATTGTGCAGTACATTGCATTTCTTTTAATGCGAGCGCCACATGGGGTGCAATATATAGGTGGTGGTTCAAAAGTGAGCTTCTCAACTGCACATAACTGACAAGAATTTTCACTCATTGATTGTTCCATCGCTTGATTTTTTACTGCTTTTGCTTTGCTCTGCACAAGAAAAGGTAAAATACAGATAAAAAAGGGTGCATTCATAATATCTACAAGTTTCTATTCCCAGAAAAATCCTAGAAAGCACAATGTTCTCGTTATCAACCAAATGGCAACCAAACTTGGATTCCTGTACACTAGTCAAACGAATGCTACAAGGTTTGACCTATTGGAAATACAAGATTATATGTCAATTTCAATGCATCATAAGTATAAGATAAGTTATGCAGCCCAGCCTTCACTCCACATGTACATTTGCAAAAAGGATATGATTTTCCCCAAGCAGGTGACTAATAACTTCATTTTGGTTTAATTTATCACAGCACAGAACTTGTAGTTATTCATGACATTCTTTAACTCAATTGAGTAGTGGTAAATTCATAACCTGGTAGAAGCTCAAACAGGCTTATGGAATCTCACATTATTCCACTAAAACATGAACTTTGAAAAGAATTGTTCCTCAGTAGCAGGATTCGACAAGGTTCAATCATTTCACATTCTATTCGCAAGGTATTCCCTCAATCCCATGCTTGTTTTCTTTTTCAATTTCCTTTCCAGGTCCCCCAATATATCCATACTAACATTTTCCCTGTAGAAAAATATTTCAGAATAAAAGCTTAATATCACAGAAAACCGACATGAATTTATTCAATTCAGCCCAGCCTCTGTCAAAGTTTTTATTGCGTGTGCCAAAGTCAACTTATACAAACACTACATTTAACTGGTTTCAGTTCTTGAAACTATAGATGTCCATCTACAGGAAAGCTCGTTTAACATTACCTACTCGATGAAATACTTGAGTAAACTCATAATATATTAAACTCACAACATAATGAACTAACATTTGTGGCATCATTTTTAGATCATAAAGCAACCACAAACAAGATCAGCATTGAAACAGAATGCAAAGACAAGAATAATAACATTCATGGAAATCCTGAAATTGATAAAATTTGTAGATTTTCTACTGTTTCTGTTATAATTTGATGTATTTTAACTTTATTCTAAATGTACTTGCAGTAGACCTATATCCTGTCAGGGCTTAAAAGTGTGTGGGAGAAAATTTCAGCGATTGACTATAGGTTTGTACAGCTAAGACTTTCAGTCATTTTAGGGCTCCAACATAGCATCAGAAAGTACAGACTTTCCCTAGGAGACGTACCGTTAATTATGAAAAGTCAAAATTGTAGCTGCCTGTTAAAGTAGTCAAATTCACCTTAACTTCCTATCCTCACTCTCAAATGATACGTTTTCTTAGCAATTAAGTTGGCCCCATCTTCAAGAATTCACAGCTTTTAAGTCTTGATCCGTAGATAAATAAGTATCAAGACTCTTCAAGTTAACCATGGTTGCATGGAGGACGTTTTGATGCTCTCAATGCTCTTCAAACAACCTAACTATCTACGATCAAAGACGTCAAGTATCAAATCAAAATGAAGGCATAGATAGTGAAGAGAATGCAGTATAGTGCTAATCAATGTTACGTCCATGCCCAATCCTCTTATTCAATTGCTTCCGTTCAACTGCAAACTGAGATGCCAAAGAACAGCTTGTTTATATGGGAGTTGACTGGATAATTATGCTAAAATGGCAATCCATAAATGAAATAAAAACATGGTTTGTGGCGTTACATGGCCAACCCACTGCCTGAGACCTATTATATGCTGCCGAACTTGCTCAGGTGTGAACAATTCAGTCAGTGATACTCCTTTAATTTTTGGCTTCCCAGAACCTGCATTATCATCGGCAGGTAATGAGTTGGATTCCTCTTTAGCCGGATCCACTTCTTTTTCAATCTTAACACCGGCCTCAGATTTCATGGGCATACTCGGATTAACAATTTGTTCAGTTTGCTGTGTGGTATGAAACACTTGAGATTCGCTAGCAGTGGGAGCTTGTACTGCCGGATTTTGGATTTCATGAACAGATTGCGAGGGCGGCTCAATCTTCATGCGCTCAAGAGATGGTTGTAAATCTGGGGGGCGTTTCAGCCATTGTTTTTATTTTTTATTTTTATAATACTATTGTCTTCAAATTTGACCTTAAGAATCAGAAGCGAAAAAGCCCATTAGTTTTAGGGTTAATCACATTTTATCCCCTTAAAGAATATCCCATTTATCAGTTTATCCCCTAACCTTTAATTTTGCTCACTTTACCCCCTTTAGGACAAAATTACTCTTGCATTATTTTGACTTTTCATTGACCTTGTTTTCCTTTCTTTTATTTCTTTTTCTCTTTCTTCTTTATTTAACTCCTCCTTTTTCTCTCAAAAATCTTCACCTTAATGATTGAAATTAAAAAAGAGGAATTGCAGAGATCTATCTTTTCCTTAAATGATTAAAAAAATATTCAAATCACTTTTCTAAAATACAACTTTTTTAGCCTTTCAATTCTTTTAATTTTGGATTTTCCTCTTTCCTTTCTAATTTCTCATTTTATTCTCAAGAAAATATCATAAGATGAAATTATTTTTCTTTCTTTTATTTATTTTTCTCTTTCTTCTCTCTTTCATCCTTCTCAATAGAAATTTCATTTCAACGAAAATTTTTGTTTTGAGTTTGTAATTGCATATTTCTGAGTGAAGGTTTAAAAGGCATCAAAAACAAATTTTGATTTTTTGTATGATGTCACGTGTCACAAATTTCAATTGATGATTATTAATCAGGTCACAAATTCATCTTAAGATATTTTCTTGGGAATAAAATGAGAAACTAAAAAGGAAAGAGGAAAATCCAAAATTGAAAGAATTGAAAGGCTAAATTTTAGGAAAGTGATTTGAATATTTTTTTAATCATTTAAGGAGAAGATATATCTCTGCAATTCCTCTTTTTTAATTTCAATCATTAAGGTGAAGATTTTTGTGGGAAAGAGGAAGAATTAAATAAAGAAGAAAGAGAAAAAGAAATAAAAGAAAAGAAAACAAGGTAAATGAAAAGTCAAAATAATGTAAGGGCAATTTTGTCCTAAAGGGGGTAAAGTGAGCAAAATTAAAGGTTATGGGGTAAACTGAGAAATGAGATATTCTTAAAGGGGATAAAATGTGATTAACCCTTAATTTTAAAGGATGGGTTGGATTCATTTTTTTTTTGTTGTCAAAAGTCATATTTGCATTCATTAGCTTGATATTACAAGATTTGATACATCAGATTTACTTCTTTTGGAATCATTTTGTGCACTCTCATGGAGCCACATGGGAAAGCACTCTTCCCATTCAACACTCCTAGTTAGTTTGACAGCAAACTTTGCTAAACTATGTGCACACTTGTTTCCTATTTTATGGACAAAAGAGAAAGTACATTTGTCAAACAAGCATCTCATGTTTGCAATGTCCTCTAGGATTATGTCAACTCTAACTTCTTTCCCATTTTCCTTATTTATCATGTCCACCACTTCCTTGCAATCAGACTCGAGCTCCACATCTCTCCATTTGGCCTCTCGAGCCATTTGCATTCCTATTCGAATTGCAGCCGCTTCCTCCACCAGGGGTTCGTTTGTTTTTATCTCGGCACTGTCCCATGCTTTCATCAGTTTTCCTTCTGCGTTCCTAACCACAGCTCCTATTCCACTTTTGTTCATATTCTTTGAGAAGGCAGCATCAGAGTTGATCTTTATCGTTCCTCCTTTTGGTGGATTCCATTGCTTCATTCTACTTGAGTTGGTTGTTTGTTTAATGAACTCTCCACTTGTGTTGTTCTGGGCTTCTATATACTTATCCCACTCTAGTAGTGCTTTCTGCACTGTTTTCCTTGGATCTGCACTTTTTTCATCGAAGACTTTTCTATTTCTTGCTTTCCAGATTTGCCACAAAATATTTACAGTTAGTGTGATGTGATCCTGTCCTTGCTCTCTCCTCCTAGCTGCTAATATTCCTTCCCACCATCTTACAAAGTTGCTCCTCATGTCCTTTAGTCCGTCCCATTGCAGAGGTGTTAATTTCCAGGTGGTTTCCGCATTGTTGCAGAAGAATAGCATATGTTCAATTGTCTCCACTGCTTCCCCACAGCATTCACACATTGGGCTGTTTCTTCCTATTCTCTTGTTTATTTGCTCATTTACTGGCAAACTATGATGTAGGCACCTCCAGATGAAATGTTTGAACTTGTGTTTCATCTGTAAGGACCACACTTCTTTCCAGATGTTTGAATTCCTGTGATCATAGCTCGTGCTTCCTTCATCCTCTTCCCTCCTTCCCACCTGTTGTTTCTGGCATTCTTCCATTGCTGCGGCATAGGCAGACTTCACAGTAAATAGACCTGATTTTGTGTACCTCCAATACATTCTATCTGTGCAGCCTGTTATGCTTATGGGGATAGCTATGATATTTTGGATGTCTCCTACTATAAACCATCTATTGAGCAACTCCTGGTTCCATTCTCCCTCTTTTATCATTTCAGCTGCTTTCCTGATTATGCAATCTGGACTCTTTCTAGTTTTGATCCTTCCATCTTCACTACCTGGAACCTATTTGTCTTTCCAGATATCAATGGTTTTCCCATCTCCTACTCTCTTCCCTGGCCCTTTGTTCAGTAGTTTCCTGGTCCCCATTATACTCTTCCATATCCAAGAAGCTGCTTTCGAGGGGTCCTTGTCCCAGCTTTGTGCTCTTCCTAGGTACTTTGACATCATCACCCTACTCACCAGTAGGTTTAGTTGTGTGAGCAACCTCCAAAGCTATTTTGCCAAGAGGGCATCATTGAATTTCTCCAGATCTCTAAAACCCAAACCACCTCTACTTTTCACCTGAGATATCTTTTTCCAGCTAGTCCAGTGTGTTTTCCTTTCACTTTCTCCATTTCCACACCAGAATTTGGCTATCATTTTGCTTATATCTTTGCACAAGACTTTTGGAAGTTTGAAGCAAGACATAGTGTAGGTAGGGAGTGTCATTGCCATAGATTTTATAAGTACCTCCTTCCCTGCTGGATTTAATAGATTTCTCTTCCATCCTTGCAGCTTTTCTTTCACCTTTTCTTTGATGTAGCCAATGACTTGTTGCTTGGATCTCCCTAGCAGCATGGGTAGTCCCAAGTACTTTCCACTTTTAGCTTCCTTCATATTCCCCAACTCAGCACATATTTCCTTTCTCAGATTCCTGCATGTGTTTGCACTAAAGAAAACAACAGATTTGTCATAGTTGATTACCTGTCTAGAAGCCCTTTCATAGATAGCAAACATGTTTTTCATTTGTTTAGCTTCCTAGGTACTAGCTTTACAACAGAACAAAGAATCATCAGCAAAAAGCATGTGGGATAAGACTAGACATCCTCTTCCCACCTTGACTCCTATTATGACTTTGTTGTTGATTCTTTGATTCATCAGATTTGAAATCCCTTCAGCATAAATAAGGAACAGGTAAGGAGAGAGGAGGTCCCCTTGTCTAATACCTCTGGAAGGTTTTACATATTCTACTTTCTATCCATTTACATTGAGGGAGTAGGAAGCAGTAGTTACACAGTTCAAGATCCATTTTACCCAAATAGGACAGAAATCCATTTTCATCATCATTCTTCCCAGAAACTGCCATTCTACCCTATCATAGGCCTTGGATAGATCAAGTTTTAGGGTCATAAAACCATTTCTGCCTGTTCTCTTATTTTTCAAGAAGTGAACCATTTCCTGGGCAAGAATGACATTGTCAAGAATATGTCTTCCAGGAACAAAAGCTGATTAGGCATAACTAATACATTTAGGGATAACCTTTTTCAACCTGTTTGCCAGTACTTTTGCAATGACTCTGTAAAGGACATTACAAAGAGATATAGGCCTATATTGGGATAGGTTGATAGGAACTTCTACCTTTGGAATCAGGGTCACAATTGTTTCATTAAGGGCTCTAAGAAGATGACCACTATTGAGGAAACTTTGAACAGCCATTACAATGTCAGTTTTACAAACATTCCAATATCTTTGGAAAAAGAGAGAGGACATACAATCAGGGCCTGGAGTTTTATCTGGATGCATAGAGAATAGAGCTGCCTTCACTTCCCTTTCTTCCACTGGTTTAATCAGCATTGCATTCATTTCCACTGTGACTGTACAAGGGACACCTTCAGTAACTGCTTCAATGTCAGATGGTTGGGATGAAGTGTAAACTTTGTTGTAGGAACTACATATTTCCTCTTCAATTTCCTATTCTGTCTCATACCATTTACCTGCTTCATTGTGTAGGCATGTTAATCTATTCCTTGTCCTTCTGGTCATCACCCTTGCATGAAAAAAAGGAAGTGTTTTTGTCTCCCTCTCTGAGCCATCTGCATCTTGCTTTTTGCTCCCAATATAGCTCCTCTTGTTTGTAAGCCTGGCTTAACTTTAACTTCAATTCAGCAATTAGCCCCTTGTTCTTTTCATACTCACCATTCTTTGCTTCCAGAATCTGCTACTTTAAGGTCTTGATCTCTTTCCCAGAATTGTTCTTATTCTCCTTATTCCAATCTATCAAAGTTTGTTTACATCTCTTGACCTTCCTTGTCAATCTGACATTTTTTATCCTTGTTGGGGTTCATCCCAGGCTCTACTAATCAGTTCCTGAATTTGCTGGTTTTGAACCCATCTTTTATCAAAATAGAACCTTCCTCCTACCTTCCTTGTCCTTGGCTTTATGTCTAACATAATCATACTATGGTCAGATGCCTCTTTTTCTATATGCATGCACTTTGCTGTTTCAAACTTTTGGCACCATTCCTGATTTGCTAACATTCTATCTAGTCATAGTCTTATCTCCTGACCATCCCAGTGTGAACTCCAAGTCCAAGGCTTTCCTTCATATCCTATATCTACTAGATTATTTGTGAGAGCCCGAAATTTTCTAAGTTTCTAGGGTTATTTTATTGTTCGCCCGCCTTTTCGACATTTTCTTTATTAGAAAATTTTTCAGATAATTTTATTGAGTAAATATAGTTTTTAGATGATTTTTCTAGTATCAAATAGGTTTTGAGAAATTAAGAGTGTATACCGGACGTGGGACCACTAGTGCGAAAAGTTCGGAAAAATTCGGCCAACT